CCATTACAGCTTTATTTTTACAACTGACTTGACACGAATACTCCACACAAAACTATGAGCGTTTTTAGTGTTGAACGCGAGCGGGGTGACCGAGAATTGGCAAATACGCAAAAGTACTAAGGAAATATTAAGGAGTGATTTTAGGTCAAAGAATTAAATAGGCCAGGAAAAGTTTATATTTAACAGATGGCTTTATCACTCTACATCCTTTATGCCAAGAATTGGCTCATTTGGGCTTTCTAGACGGACAAAATATAAACTTGAATTAAACCATGTAATTCATGGAAACCAAATTCACCTACCTTTGCGTCACCTCGACCTGCTCACAGAAAAACTTGGCAGGACAAAACAAAACTCGGCAGAATGGAAGACAAGGAATCAAGCTACCTTTGGAAAAAATTGCTTTTTATTCACATTCATTTGTGGCACGAAAAATAAACGCTGAACAAAAAGTGGCCAAGAACTGGGCCCAGCCAATAACTGGGCCCCACATTGTACAGTACATGTATCCTTCAAAACTTTGCAAATAAAAGCTTGGGTGTCGAATCGATGATCGGAAAAGGAAACTATCAATCGTTATCAATCGATAAAATAAGTTAATTGCTATTGATTGGTATCACTCACACAAATCCTCCTCATTGATTGGTTGTCGATTATCAATATCAATCGATTAATTGGATATTGCTATCGATTGTCAATCAATGTTGATTTCTTTAATTGCACACCCTGGGATGAAAGCAATCGTAAAGTTTCAGTTCTGGTCATGCCAAAACGCAGACAATGCAGACTCTAGACTGCAGACCATGCAGACCCTGCAGACCGAGTACTTTTTTTCTTGCACTTTTTTTTTATTTCTGGAGTAAAATAAAGAAAATACAATCACCTTGCCTGGATTCTGTCGTCCATTTGGCCCACTTCATCATTTTTTGGGGGGTTTGAGGTGTTTGTCGCAACATTCTGTAGACGAAGTCAAGGCTGGACAGAGCTGTTTCAAATGACCTGTACCGTGAGGTTGTTTTCTAGCCAAATTTGAATCTGCTACTCGATTTTTCCCTCCAACGTGAAGAAGGATAGTTCATTTCTCTTCTTTTCCGGTCGGCTTGGAAAAATCTTGCTCTTTGCCACTCCAATTCAAACAATTTTTGCTTCACTACTGGAGCTTTCAACTTTCTGCCACATCTTGTGACTGTCCTTTCGACTCTGGCACAATTTGAAATCAACATTACTGGTCTTACCTTACAATGAGGCGTCAAAATGCTCTCGCGGGGTTGTCGGGAGAGAGTGGTATCTTTTTAGTGAAAGTTTTGACTGTGCACCTGTCTGGTAAGTTGCAGTTGTCACGCTGAATCGGTGGCTAATGTTGATTTCAAGCCGTACTGTAGTCGAAAGGATGGTCACAAGGTGTGGCAGAAAGTTGAAAGCTCCAGTAGTGAAACAATAGTCATTTGAACTGGAGCAGTATCTAGGAAGATATTTGCAGGCCAACCATAAATGGAGAGAAATGAATAATCCTTCTTTGCATTGGAGGGGAAAATCGAGCAGCAGATTCGAATTTCGGCTAGAAAACGGCCTTGCAGTACAGGTCTTTTGTATAGAAAGTTGCAACAAACACCTCAAAACCCCTCAAAAATGATGAAGTAGGCCAAATGGACAACAGAAACCAGGCAAGGTGAGTATATTTTATTTATTTTATTCAAACAGAGTAACATTTTATTTCACTGCACGATTTTATCCTTAGTTATTTTAAACTCCATACTGTCAGAAATGTTTCTTCTGACAATATATGCACAACTTGATTTCAGTCCAAAAACAAACAACGGGTTTTAATCGGCTAAACTCACTGATACAGATGACAGAACTCGATCGATCTCACTCGCCATGTGCTCTCCTTAACACAACACATCCTATAATATTTTGAAAACAGTTCCCAGTCCGAACCGTGCGTGGGCTGGTGACGCCTGACTAATCTTACAACATTCGCTTAAACCAAGTCTAAAGTGATATGATTACATTTGCATAACTTGAATCTCGACAATACAATGCCTTGTAGAGCGCTCAAATTCCCAATGGCCCAAAGTGTAACATAGCACCGCACACTTAAGGCAATCAGGTCTCATTCAATACACATACATAAATCATTAATATTTGATCGATTCCTCATATTGTGAGTAGGGGACGCTTGTGCACTACTTTGTGCATTTACTGTAAATGAACTTTTGACTCAAATTTTTGCGGTTCTAGTTACAAATTAGTGTTCATTATATCCTAATGTTTGTTCTTTATCCCCAGACTGTACAAGCACAGTATGTGCATGTATCTACTTCATGTATGTACTTTAAAACAAATCACATGTAAATTAAATCAATTTAAAGCCTATAATTTTATTGCACATTGTTGACTCATATCTTTTCTTTGCTTTGCACTGGCTTCACATGTATTTACGTCAAATTCCTATTGGTTCATGAATTGGTATTGCTTACGTTCATTGTGTTACCATGGCCAATGGCCATTGTAATAGGCAATTTTCACAGTGGTGTCATCTCACTACAAAGACCAAAATCCATCACTTTTTCTTTTTCACATTTTAATTAGGATTAATCATTTTTGTTGTTATTTTTCACTGTCAGTGACTTCAGAATTTAAAAAATAAAACAAACACAAAATGAGGTCTGGTACAATGTAGTTGTAGACGTATGACAACATTGTGCAAGTCTGCTATTGCTTTGGCTTTGTATATATTTACAATGCTTGAAAAGTAAATCACTCCATACAACTTGATTCCCATAATTGGTATCATGGTAATGAAGTTTAAATTAGTATTTAGAACAGACCTTTTTACCAATACGGTGGCCATTTTGATTTCTGTTGATTTGAGAGACATTGTCAATGTGGGATGCTCAGGAGGCAAACTGGCATGCATCTGAAGGAGTGCATGGAATTAAGTCCCAAGTGACTTCTGGAAAACTTTGCGGTAACCAGCATTGAAATACATGTACCCTCTACCCATTGTTACAGTTTACTCTGGTTTTCATTATTGTCTAAAAACAACTAGCAATAATTAAGAGTTCTTTTTAGACAAGAATTAAAACCAGAGTAAACTGTGAAAATTGCTGGTGCGTATTTCAAACCTGGCTACCTTAAAATGTTCCAAAAGTCACGTAGGACTTTATTCCATGCACCCCTTCATTTGCCCCCTAAGCATTCCATAATAGCTATTTGAAACACTGGAATTCAAAATGGCTGCCATATCAGTAAAAAGGTCTATCGTGATACTTGATTGCAGTAAGAATCAATCAACCAGTGAAGAATATCTCAAGTACAAGGGGTTCTGGTGAAGATGAGCGCAGTTTGTTGAGAAGAATAATAACAAACTGGAAAACACCAGTAAGTATATCTATAGGCATCTAATTGATTTAATTTTGTTTTGATGTAATGCTTTTGAAACGTTGGGATCACTGTGATCTCAACAGTGTTTTTCCTTAATGGAGAGATAAAGTTTGTTGAAAACTTATCAGTCTGAATGAATGGATGGAAAGGATGGCTGTCAGGGGAGGCTAGAGGCTCCTACAGTAACTATTTCTGACATTTTGGTCAGGGAAATTATATTTTTATCAATAAAAAGTCAGGGAATTTTGAAAAGTGGCAACCATGTTAATTATACAGTAGCTGCAACAATTACTAAATTTATGGATATTAAGGTAATTCCATCGAAATAGAACTAACAATAGATTTTCTGTCAAACTTTACCTGTTGGCTGCTTATATCAAGAGAACTTAAAATTTGAAATAAAAAAGGGGGGTCCCCATATTCGTTTAGGAGCAGGAGGACCATCAATAATCCCCATAATTCCTGAAATTATCTGCTTTAAGAAATGTTTATATTTGAACCATTCACCTTACACTTTAAGAGAGCAGAAAAATAGACAGAAAGTTAAGCAAGAAATACAACAATGGATGTATTGCATAAATGTTAAAAGAACAATTTGATGTACATTTCATGATAAGGGCACTCATAAATAAGTTTAGTCGACAAGGATACAATATGTTCCAAGCACGCAGTGTTCTGGGGCCACATATTATCTTGTTTGACTTGTACGAGTGCTAGCTATGCTCTCATTTTCCATGACAATTTTTTTCTCTGCAATAGAAATTGGTCCATATTCACTGTATAGAAAGATGGTGATTTCTGCATTCAACCTAAATAAAAAAATCGTTGGGTCCCGGTACTCGTTTCCGAGGAAAAAATGATGATTTGTCTCTCGCAAACCAAGCCATTTAGAAAAAGCCACCATTTTGTATATGTTGTGTATGTGCACATGCTCGTGACTGTACGCTAATGACACGAAAATCGTGCGCAGTAGGGATGCGCAATGCAATTCTGAGGAATCACCTTGACTGGTGTGACAAATGTTCTCTAATCATGCCTTGTTATTTGTTCCAATAGTCCCTGGTTTTCATCAGCGGAGTACTAGGCTGTCTTTTTTATGAAAGATTCATTGGTAAGTACGTAGGAAAAAAATTACAGGGATCTGTACATGCAATTAAGTCAGGGATGTTGTTCATGTAGTTTGAAGCCTTAAATTTGTTTTTAACAGTTCATTGTTCATAATTTTCCCTTAAGTAACATAATACTTGTACTGTGGGAGAAACCATGGCCTAATGATTAGTATGCTGGTCTCCAGATAGCCTGCAAACAGACTCTGATGCACTGTGTTACAAGCAACAGGAAAGTTTGCTTGCCGACTTGTTGACTTTAATAGTGTGATATTATAATGTTCAAACTTAAAGGAGCTATGTGGTGATATTTTGAGTCATTTTTTTGATATCCATAACTTTCAAAGTTAAAAAAAAAACATGACTTTTCTGAGATAGAATTTAAACACAAAAAATGTAACAGCTACAACTAAAAAGACTACTCAAGACAAATCACAATCAGCAAGACTTGGCCAATTAATGAATATGCCACATGCAGTGTACATATTTGTAGCTTCTTTGTTATAACAGAGGGGTTTACATGTAGGTCCATGGTATGCTTTGCTGTTGCTATGTAATAACATTTATGCATGTTAATCATTTCTTTCTGACTTTCTGTTTTTGTATCAAACAGAAGAACCAGATGAAACAGGAAAAAGAGATGTAAGATTATAATAATACCATTGCAGTGGTTCATTTTTTGTTTGCATATGTCTATGTACATTTATATAATTACATGATGTAATAAGTCAAATTATTCTTGCATTATTGGTTCTCACCTATGATCTATTAGAGGACAGATGCATAAATGATGTCAATACCACAAACATTCTACGTATACCTCTGTTCTTTAAAAATGGTGCAAAGTTTTGAGAATTTAGGTTACATAATATTTTATGTGACTGGATGAGAGATTAAGTACAATAAAGTCTTGTCAAGGCTGTGGCAGTGGTGCAATTTCCCTGAACCAATCACAATTCTTTGCTACGCATAGCAACCAATGAGATGGCACCATTTTGTTTAGACAATAGATTACGTCAAATTGCTTTTTTCATGTTTGTTAAAGTGGGCAAAGGCCCAGCTTTTAACTTTTGTTGAAAGATTTTGAAAAAAAAAGGCTTTTCTGTCTCTATGATATAAAACAAATAGATTCCATGCTGCCATGCATCTGTTCAGTAATAGATCACAGAAGACATCAAAATGTGGTAAAAACATCAGTGACACTCAGCTATCGCCTTGTGTGCCACTTTTTTGTTCATACCACATTTTGATGTCGTCTGTTATTGAACAGTCATCTATTACTGAACAGACACATGGCATCTCGGAATCTACAAATGTATTTGTTAAGTAAACTTAATGTACATGCCACTGTGCACAAAACACAATAGTTCTGAGCACTGTGATTGGCCTTTATGTTTTGAAATGATTTTTGTGTGTTCATTTTTAATACACAGCCTCTGATAACAAGACTTATGATGGACTACCTCATGGCAGATCCTGTACTGGAAAAACAGCAAAGAGATAATTTTTTGCGTGAGGGCAGAGAAAAGTGTGATGCATAGTATCCTTTAACAAAATAGGCACATGTTTAAGCATCTCGGCATAAAATGTCATGTTCTACCTGAAGGACAAAAATGTGTGTTGCAAAAGAGCTATTAAACAGCATGCAAAGTCCAGCTTTGGAAATATACATAAATATTATGCTGACGATAAAATAAAACTTCAAATAATTTTTGAGATCCAGTAAAAGTTATTTCTGTCAATAATCTCTCTATTTCTACTCATGATTCTCTTTGTTGCAGCCAGTTTCTCTTGATGTCAGACCAGTTGTAAATAATTTTACCAATATTTAAACATGTACGTACATGTATACATGTATGCCCTACATTGTCCCTACATTATTATTATTATTACGTGTAGGGGTTAGACAGAGACATGTCCAGCTATTGAAAGACAGTGAGAGACCTTGAGCAACTGCACACCAACATAACTGAATACAACAATTCTGATGTGAATGTGTATTTTTATAAACAAGATTCCATATTCCCTTTTTTGACTGCCTCTGGACATTGTAATAGAGCTCTATTTGCAAATAATTTTTATTTCATACACTGTACATGTACATTGTTTGTCAATGTAGGTTCAAGAATACTGACCACTGTTTGAACACTTGCAGTGTATAGTTTATTATGCTAGCCCGCAAAGTCTTTTTCCACCCTTGCTGGAAGCCTGTCGATAAGAGAAAGCAAGTGGGAAGGCCTTTGGGATATTTTTGTTCAAGTGAAATTGTAATACTCATTACTGGTATTCTGTTTCCTTAACCTGTTGCCTTCAGCTTGGAGAGCAAAAGAAAGCCTCGACTTGGAAAGCAGCCATTTGATCTCGAGGAGCTTGACAAAAAAACTCCTTATTACAAAGATTTTGGGCCAGATGGTTACTGAACCAAGCTCGTGTAACATCTCCAAAATGTAATGACTTGGACATTTTTTTTATTAAATGTCCCTACATGTATGCCATTGGTTTCCACATGTAATGTTGATGTACATCGCAATCTTTTGCTGCCAACAGAGACAGCACTGACATTTGCTTGATTTTTGAATTACAAAGGTTCAAGTCCTATACATGAAGTTTAAGAAAGTCGGTTATTTGTGTGACTAATAAAATTGGCAAGACTGTTCTTTTGTGGGATAAAAATTGCTGTTAAAGGTATTTTTCATTGTACACGATTGGGTACAGTCTGAATATGATCCAAGTGGCCAATCAGGCCGGAGCCTATCCCAATTTCTTGAGCATGAAGCGACTAGGAATATTTCTACTCCCCCACCACTCCGGATGGGATGCTAGTCCATCTCAAGGTAACCCCCAGCATTAAATTCACCAGTACCCATTTGTACACCTGGGTGGAGAGAGGCACTGTGAGAGTAATGTGCCTTGCCCAAGACCACAGCACAGTGTCCCCAGCTAGGGCCAATCCATAGTCGAGCACACTAATCATGAGGCCACAGCGCCTCCACAAGGGAAGGTACTCCTAGAAACATTGGGTCTGGGTGTGCAGCCTGCTCCCCAAAGCCCTTACCCTATTTAAGACCAAAATCTGCGATTGTCGCTGTCCTATACCCTGTTTCAGACCTGCACTGTACCATATAATAAATTTATTAGTTCCCTAGTTCAGACCAATGTGATAGGCAATGTTTGTATGCTTTTATTAGGTAGGATAGCTTCTTCTAAGAAACATACTTAGTACAAAAACCATACCCTATTTGACACCAAAATAGCCAAAATCGATACCCTACATTACCCTACATGTCTTTCTGACCAAAACGTTTTATGGGGTGATTTATACATGGTGAATTTCAGCCTTGTTTTTGAAAGAAATCCTCGTGAAAAAAGCGGTGATTAAATGGAAAAGGTTTTAGTCTGAACTGAAAATTCCAGCCCGATTTGAAAAACCAGGCTGGAATTTTCAGCACGGGCGAACGGGCTGAAAAAGTTCCGAAATGTCCATTAATCGGAATGAAAGTTCCCCCCGCCCCCAGGGGCTGAAAGCTAACTTGGGGATGCGCAATGATTTCATTCATCAGGAAACAAAATCGCTGAAAAGGAGCAAACGCGGCGTTGACAAAATCTGGATCGGACCGGATCACAGACTGGACCACGGATTGGATCACGGACCGGATCACAGATCGGATCAC